AGTTTTGGAGAGCCACAAGGTCCCCCCTGAGCCTCCTTTCCTCCAGGCTGAGCCCCCTCAGCCCCTCCTCATCAGACTGGTGCTCCACACCCTCCATGTTGTGTCACACAAGGACTTCAAGAGCTGACACCATTTATAGTCAACCTTAGGTCACCAATGGGTTTTAAGAAAACAGGCTAATGCAGACCTTTGCAACTTCTTTTTCTCAATGGTTGCCAATAACCAATTTACTCTACAGTCCAGGATTAATTCTAACCCTAAGCAAATACCCAGGCAACCTGCTTGCAATAGCACAGTTTGTTCAGAAACTATTGCTAACATCTCAAATTAACTGGAAAATCATTTGCATCTTGTTTTGCTTTTCAGCAGATTAAAACTTCTCTCCCCAAACCTGTTACTTGTGTACCACTCAGGGAAATCCGAAATTGTCTTGCAAAGTGGAAAGTATATAACAAAGTCAAAAAATATGAATGTCTCATCCTGATTCCCTCAGAGTTTTGCTACTTGCTATTATTAATAAAGATTATTGGCATCAATCTTTGCTCCTCTAATGAATCTAATAAGTCTGAAATCTTCCTGGATGGGTTATTTCACCCAACTGGCTTGAGAAGAGTCAAACCCATAAAGTTTACAAAGTGATTCAGAAAATACAATGTAATAAATCAATTTTCTAACTACTATTACAGAAAGAAGAAAATATTTCATATGGTAAGGCTAAATGAATGAATTCAGAATATATTCAGAAATAAAGCTGATAAAAGAAATCTAGAATACATTTCTTTATCATATAATTCTGTTTGTAGCAGCTTTTTGTCTTGCTCAAAATCAGATTTAATGCAGACTATTAAGGTGTCACCTGTAAGAGAAATACCAGTTTAGTCCTTTTGGCAGTAGTGCCACAAATTCTGTTATGATTATAAATATTTTGCTATATGTAAAGAGTTGTTCTGAGGCCATGTAGTTCCTTTTAAAGTGCATGTGAATCCTAATCATATTTTAAACTAAATAAATCTACAACTACTAACAGAGTCTATTTAAAAGGAGGAATGCAAGCGCCTAGAGGTCCTTTGTATGGACAGAAATGCTTGTTTATATACTAGAAATGTCCTTTTATGACTAAGTGTTGCCTTGGAAACCATTACTAAAAATGAAAGTTTTGTCTCCAAAGGCAAAACCCACATAGTACTCAATTATCCCAAAGTTTGCTTTATATTTTCCTGATCAATCTGGAACACGGAGATGTGCAGTCAAATTTTCCTGGCTTTTAATTCCTCCTTCCTATTCTAAAATGGTATCTTGCTGTAATTTTTTTTTGATTCCACGTAACAAACAGGAATCAGTATTTTATTTCCTAAAAACCCTCTAAGCAAAGATATATTTACAACCTTTGTCTCAATAGGCTGGAAGACAAAAAAAGTAAATTCACACGATAATTGACCACTGCATCATAGATATAAAAGTCTATTTTTGGCTTACAGTGTATTGTAGATAATCTCCAAGGAAAACATCCAATTCTACCCTTCAGTTTCTGACACCAGGACTAAGACAAAAAGGGGAAGGTAAAATAATCAGTTTTCTCTGAGCACTGACAGTGCTGTACAGGGAAATGTGAGGCTAAAATACTACTTTTCAAAATGCAGAGCCACCCTGTGGATTTCTTACATTTACAGATACAGGGTTGTTATCAATAAAAATCTCTGTGGAGAGGAAACATGAATTCTAAAATCACCAGAATCTTTCAAAGAACATTGAGGGTTTAACCTTTACATGTTGGAAACACAGTATGGAACTAAAGAGTTGCTATAAAATCCTCTAGGAATACACACGACCTGCTGCTGGGAAGATGCTCATGAGGGGGAAAAGAGTCAGTGCCAAAATGCTGGGCAGTGAGAGCTGCAGGAGGATTTGGCACCCAGTGTGGGCTTCCTGTCCCTTCTGCTACCATGAAAGCCTTCCCTGAGTCCTCCCCAGGCATTGTGACAAATCCTTTCTTCTTTGTGTCCCCACCCAATTTTGGTCAGAGTTGTGCTGAGTCCTTTTTAAACCTGACAGAGTTTTTGACTTCCTGCTGAGTGTTCCTAGAGAGAAATCTGCTGGACTTGCTCAAGGGAACAAGACCCCAGGGATGGAGCCCATGGAAGGCAAGAGCATCCCACAGAAACCTGGCTGTCCCCAGCTCATACAGAGTGAGTGTGACACAACATGGACTGCAGTTGTCAGTCTGCCCTCAGGAATGAGGGAAGGACACTTCCCAAGGACCACAGGTGACAGAACTGGGCAGGCTCTGCCACAATGACTAAAACAGTCAGTGTGTGATGACACACTTGCAAGGACAGGAAAGCTGAAGGAATAAGTGATTAGAAATGCTTTCCATTTCCCTTATACCTGACTTGCTTTGAACTCTTCCCATTGAGAAAGTTTTTTGTTCATGTCATAATGGCCTACAGCATTTCCCCACCTTAGTTTCAAAGCTTTTTGATCTTTGGTGGGGTTCATGGTCGAAATAGATTCCCCTTGGATGCCACAGGCAGCTGCCACTGCCATCAGCCTCTGTGACCTCTCCTCCTGCTGGGCTTGCTCCAGATACCTGCCCAGCAGCATTTGGCACTCCAGCACCTGGCTGCAGCCTTGGCAGCGTGGAGCAGTGGCTCTGAGGCACTCCTGAGCTCTACACCTACACCAGGCTCTCGTGTTTGGGTGGAAAGGAAAACAGGGAGCATTTCAACAAAGCCTGTTCTACAATTTCAAGGAAGTCCTTCAGCACAGATAAAGGAAAAAAGGGATATGTCATGGCACTGTTTGTGTTTTTCACAGCACAGCACATCCTGACTAAAAGCCATGATGACCAGGACAGGCACTAACTATTCTGTAAAATCAATTGTTCTGTAGAAAATTACAGGATAAATAATAGCTGAAAGCCTCCAATTCTCATATGGTGTCTTCCCTGGCCATTCCCAGTGCCTGGCAACAGCTGGGGCCATTATCCTGGGCTCAGAGCTGAGAGTGTCCCCTGACTCCTGCCGTGGGGCACTTGGTGCCAGCTGAGCTCCTCACCAGGGCCATCAGCCAGCTCCAGCCCTCATGTGAGAACCTGCTCAGCTGCAGCCACGTTCATCTTCCCTTTCAAACCTCTTACTGAGAAGCAGTGTGAAGCAAAACAGGTTTTGAGAACTAAATGAAGGAAATCTCTGCTATAAAGTAAAATCTGGGGTCTTTTTTCCCCCCTAGCTGGCATTTTAAAACCAATAGAAAACCTTGCCAAGTGACTTGTTTTCCTCTAAGTCAGCTTGCAGTTTTGTATAGAACTTCTAAGAAATGGAAGCTGCAGCAAAATTATCATAACACCTCTATTTTAGGCCTAGACTAAAAGTAAATATATTATTCTACATATATAAATATATAAGATCTAAAATCCCATTACAATATCTTAATTGAATTCAGTAGATGCACCACAATACTTACTGCAGTACAGAGAAATTAGATGAGTTCCTTGTTTTGGCCATACATCACTTTTTAAAGTGGAATAGAAAAAAAAAAGGGGTAAAATAAATTATTTAATGTTCATTTATCTTCCCTATTACAATTCTGTCACTGTGCCCTACCATGGGAATATACAAATTCTGCACATTTTGTGAGAGTAGTAATGAGAATGCAATCTGCCTCTGAAATAGTTTTAGTTTAAATGATAGAGATGAAAATTACTCGAAAATTAGCTTGCAATTAACTGTTGAGATAATAATTGCATCTGAAATGTAGTTTGGTATCAGGAAAAATGGTGTATTGGAACTTGTCATTTGTCACGTTCAAGAATATTTCACTTCACTGGAACCCCCCTACAACACCACAAACCAAAATAACCCTCCCCAACTCCCCTCACCCAAATCCCATTTTCCAAGGAATTAAGTATTCATAAACTGAGACTTAAACCATGCAAAGAAGGTCCTAAATGTCCTGCTAGAAGATGAACTTAAGTGAAATAAAATTAAAATTCTAATTTATGAATGCCAGGCTTGCATTGGCAGTGTGCTTCCAAAAGTGAAGCCGGTAAGAGTCTCTCTTCTCCCATCTCTCTTTGACAAACACAACCTTGTAAAGGAACACAAATTGCCAGAAGAGGAAACAACATGGGAAAAGAGCCTCCACAGCCAGCAAAACCACAAAGAACGAAAAAGGTCTCCCACTTTTACTTGCACATTTGCTTAAAATAAACTTTTGCCAAAGTTTCTTAACACATCCCTTAGCCAAAAATCAAAACAACTTCACTAAGCACTGCCAGTGTGTTTGCTGAATCACATGACTGAGAAGGGAACAGAGCCAATTCCAACTGTTCTTCCTAAGGCACAGACAAATCTGACACTGGAATACTGTCAGAACCCAGGACATTCCTCTGGCTGCCCTGGAGGGCTCAGAGACATTGGCATGGAGTCAAAGACCTCTGTGCCTTTGATTTTGGCCCATGGAAACAATTACCAGCTTTGTGTGAAGAATTACAAGCCACAAGGGTTGAATAGAATGATAGTGAATTTACCACAGGGTGAAAAAGTAGAATTTTGGGGGTTTAGAATGGGGGTTCAAGAGGCAAGATGGAGGAATCTGGGCATGTCCTGTGTTTCTTTTTCTTCTTCTTGCCCTCCATCTTCTGCTGTGATAGTGACACTTCTGGACTGGTTTAAAGTAGAGACAGACTGTCTAACATAGGTGATAGGTATTGGGAAATTATTGTAAATAATGTACACGTAGCTCTTAGTACAAAAAACTAACACTGCCCAGAGGGTGGCCAGTGTGCCTCAACCTGACCTGGCAGACAGACCTCCACAGAGAAAGAATGTATTAGAGAAGAGAAAACAAACAACCTTGAGAACCAGATACCCAACTTCTTCGACTGCAGGGCTATGAAAAAAGACTTTTTAATACCTCAGGAACCATTCCAACAACACGAAACCCGAGAGAACAGAAGAGGCACCAGGCAATCAGCTGCTCAGATTAGATAAGAAACTCACGCTTGTGGTGTAGGCGGCCTCGGGGTCGTCCTCCAGCACCCGTGAGAGGCCGAAGTCGGAGACCTTGCACATGAGGTTGCTGTTGACCAGGATGTTGCGCGCCGCCAGGTCCCGGTGCACGTAGCCCATGTCCGACAGGTACTTCATGCCGGAGGCGATGCCCCGCAGCATTCCCACCAGCTGGATCACCGTGAAGTGCCCGTCGTGCTTCTGCAAGGGGAGAGACAGCTCAGATTCCTCCCTTTGTTTCATCCCAGTGAGACCAACCTCAGCTCTGATTTAGAACACTTCTGCTTCACGGATTTTAGGAACTTATTGTGATTGCGTTCTAAAGCTGCCCACTTGCTAGCTTGTTTATTTTCAAGGACTTAAGATGCCTGGCAGTGCATCCCATCCCATCTCTCATTGTGCAGCTTCTCCCCCTTTCCTCCACATTCTCACACATTTCACAGCCTTCCTACTGACAACATTTAATTGCTTTCATACTTGGTTACTATGAACGCCTTCCCCCAATGCTATTTTTAGTACAAGATCGAGAAGGGACACAAATTTCTTCACTTATGGCCTCAGGAAACAAAGAACCCCCTTTTTATTGTCTCTGCCTTGATTGACTGCTGTTACCTCACTTTTACAGTATTTTCTTAGGGAGGGTTCTTTTGTTAAAAAAAAAAATCCCAAAATATCCTGAAAAATTTTTGGGTCTTTAGCTCATGCTGCTTGTGCACCTTACACCTAATCTCTGAACACTGGATCAAATGAGGTAGAATTCAGGAATTCAGCTTTCCCAAAATTTTTTTGGCAGATTAAGGTTAAGCTCAGACCCATGAATGCATCAAACTTCTTGATACCTTCTGAAATCTACTGTAAATAAGAGTTATGCCATTAACTGTGCTTGCCCAGGTGGGCAGCCTTGCTGGGCCTCAGTTTCTCCATCTGCAGCATCAGAGTTAACACTTCTCTATGTCCTGCTTCAGACAGCTCCTGAATTATGTGGCAGTGGGGACCTGCACAGAAATGTGACTGCAGGCTCTCTGCCTTGTTTAGACCTGCCCTCTCTACCATTCACAGCACACTGCTTTTATGAATATTTTTATGGTGACCTCAACTGGCAGACATTTAGCTTCTCATGGATTATTCAGTGACCCAAGGCTTTTTATGTTCACAGGAACAGCCAAACAAAAACAACTCCTGCAAACAAGTTAACCTTCCATTTTCTCTTTCAACACTTCTAGCATTGGGCTACAGACAAATAACAAGTTCTGATCAGCATTCAGGACACTTCTATTGCTTAGCTCATGCATTTAAGCAAGATGATTTTTATAGGGCAGAAGCTTACAGGAAGTTCAGCAAATTCATTAGATTCAGCAAAGCAACAGGCTGAACTATGCTTATCTTTATCCCTGGTCACCAAAGTATTTCAGCATTCCCATAATGATTCAATGATTTGGGGCCTGTATACAGCTAGTCAGGATATGAACATTTAAACACTACAACAAAAATCAGAAAGAAAATGATAAAAGGAGGATACAAACATACCTTGTCAGCTAGATGACCTCACTGCCTTACTATACCACTCAGCAACATTTGTATTGAAGGAGCAGTGCCAAACACCACAGCCACCTCCCGTGAAAGCACATTTAATGACACCTCTTTAAAACCAGCTATTTACAACTGATTTAGAGCAATTTTTCCCCCTTGAATGCGTCAGTGCTTTATGTCAGGGCAGTAAAGCTTCTCTGTCTCTAAAATCTCCTCCAAAGCGGAGGCAGCTCTCCCCAAGAAGGCCGCACCCTCCCTCATTGTCACCATCAAGGCCAGGGATGAGCACCTGGTCCTGCAGAGGACACTCAGCTGAGGCTCAAAACACAACTTCCATGAGTCCTAAAGTACCAGGGACAGATATTTTCAATAAACTCATTCCACCCAGCAATTAAGCAAAGAGAGACAAAAGATTATATTGTTACTTACTTTAAGCTGCTTCCTGCAAAGGAAGGACAGGAATTCTAGACAATATTTTTGTAATGAGGCCACATGGGATTTCTGGGTTTGCCTTTTATTTAATAATTCTAATTGTTCTATTGATTAAAAAATTGGAAAGGTAGTTGCCAACAGTTGGTACTCTTCACACTTACCATGTACGGATTACTTTTTTCAGCTAACTGTAAAATTAGCATTTGGAACAAACTGCCACCTGAGTTTTTCAAAATGACCATTCATGCCCCCCTCTACCCCCACAACAAAGCACCAAACTAAACCAGCCCCTCAAACCTCTAGATTTTACCTCCTCCTTAACAGCTCAATTTTTTTCAACAAACCTGAGTCATTTGTAGCACCTCCCTTAACCTTTTGTCTTCTTGGATTGCAAGCATTCACTCCTTCCTTTTTAATTTCTGCTCTTTCAAAGTTACACCATGCTTGGCTGATTTTTCATAAAACATAACCTTTTGTCTGCTCTTTGCAAGTCTCAGTACTTGCCTTACCAGTATAGCTGCAATGCCTGACTTTAAAACAATCTCATGCTTTTGCTATTCTCTCCATCACTCTTTCAAGTTTTTTTGGGATTCTGCCTTGACACAAAAAGTTAAAGCTTCTTATCTTCACTGTTCAAGAAATGACAGACCTGCTAACGTATCAGCTGCAATTTTATTCTGTCCTCCTCCTCCCTCTGTATGTTTCTCAGAATTCTCTACCGCATCTGTTCTCCTCTCTCTTTTCCCATGCGTGGTTTTATATTTTTTCACTGCCAGCCTTGCAGTTGGACCAACTACATTTCTACTATCAGCAGAACAGTCTTTTCTCAATCAAGTCTCTTTGTAAGCACTTGTGCATCAGTTTCCATGCCAGCTGTATCCCCTTACAATCTATAAACTTACCATTCAATACATCAAAATTTTTTTGATGTAGGCTGATCAGGATACAGACTATGAGCTATATTTAACCTTTGGAAAATTTAGCTAGGTTGATGAAATTATAGCAGGTAGAATCTGACCTCATATTTTCAGCATTTTTCAAGCCCCCAGGTACAATCCTTTGGCAACTTTCCTCTATCTTGTTTCATTCACTTGGCATATAGGGAAATAAAACACTCATCTGACTGATAGCATGGTTGCTACCCAGGGCTTTATTCTGATTCCCATAGCTGAGATTTGAAATATGTTTTTGATAGGATTCCCACTGGGCTCTTAAGGGTGTTAATCAATACTGGCAGCAATTCAGACCTCAGTGGACTCACCACATTTATCCTATCATCCCATTAAATTTTAATCAAGCTTTGATGGCTTTTCTAAATAAACTTTTCTCAACAGCTGGGTATAGATGCAATATCTGAGTAGTTGCTCTTGCATTTACGCAGTCCTTAAAAATGCCCTGAAAAAATTATTTTTAGTCAGCTACAGTTTGCTTTTAAGAACCTCATGTAAGTGAAATATTCTCCTCATGTTACAGACCTTTCAAGAGCACTATAATGGGCTGCTGAAGAGGTTCAGTTAATGTAGGGGAAGAAGGAGGATATTCAGACTTTCTCCCATTGCATTTTGCCATCCACTTTTTAGCCCCAGTGCCCAGTTTAGTGCTTTTCTTCAAGCCTGTGGAATTTTTCATCTTCAGAAGGTTTTTTTCCATTTCACTACCCAGTAATCTTTTGGAGGCATGGCCACTGGATTTTCTGTATTGTTTCTGGAGTTCCATCAATTCCAAAATCCACTTCCTTATGTGCCAAATAACTCAGAACACTTTTAGGCCTTTATCCTCTGTGCAGAATTTACTACAAATCTAAAAATTTTACTGCAGATTATTTAGATTTCATTTTAGACAGAGAACAGCACTGAAAATGGTGTGTCTGTGTCTAACTTAGATCACATTCACCACTGACACTTGCTACTGGTCACTGGGTGAAAGATGCAGCTTTTGCTATGCATTTATTGTTACAGTTTTACTGTGCAAAGTAAATGGTGGGACTTTGTCAAGATGAATCTTCCTAAATTCAAGTTGCAGCTTGGTATTTTTTGGAAGAGTAACTCATTCTTCAAACTATCATGTGTGTCACACTAAAGTTTATATTTTTGGTACTAAATGAGGTCAGCTGATAATTTCTTCCTCATTCAACTGTTGATAGAGTTCCATGCAGACTTAATTATTATTAATAGATTCTATTAATTCAATTTTTAATTACTTTAGTTCATTTTAAATGCTAATGAGTGATCCTACACAGAGTGCAGAACAGCCCTACCCCATACTTCTTTCTATCCAAATTCCATTCCTTCCACACAGGATGTAGCAGAAATTTCATGCAAATCATATTTCTCTAGCTGCTCACAAACATCTCACGTGGGAGAGTTTTAAAGCCTTACTGAAGCCAAAGTTTATGAGATCAACTGCTTCTCCCACAGCCACAAAGCCTGAGCCCTGCTACAAAAGGAAACCAGATCTGTTTGACAGAATTAGTTCTTGACAAATCCATGTTGGCTCACACTTATCTCGCTGTTATCTTTAAGATGCTTAGACTTTGTTTGATAATTTGTTCCAGAAATCTTACAGCAGCTGACATTAAGCTGACTAGCCTGTAATTTCTCGGCTTCTCTTTTCCTCTCTTCTAAAAGACATTCAAAATCCCTTCATTTAAAAGACACTGGCTCTGTTCTGATCTTCTGATTTCTCATTCTTGACAAACTCATAAAGAGCACACTGAGAGAGTCCACATTACCTTTCGAATTCTTTTTGCCTTCAAATACAAGACCATTTGTGAAAAATTTCTTGCTACTCAGTACTAAGAATATCTACGGTATTTAATATCTAAGTAAAAATATCTACATATTAAAAATGCCCAGCATTTTACAGTAAATTCCCACAACAGCATCAGAAATGTTGTTTCATACATCCTTTTAGGAGGGTAAAACATTGCTTGAGAACAAATGCTGGCACTGGCACTGTAGCATCAGTGAGAGCTTCTCAGTGCAATCATAGTTCACTTAAATACATGCTGCTTACAATTTCACTATTAAGCTAATACAGTCTTTCAAATTCACTTTCTAATTGCTCAGTCCAATTTTAGTGTAAATAAAAAAAGAAAAAAGTATCAGCAGCTTCCAGGTTCCCAGTGCATGTTTTCTCTTTTACAGACTGATTTTTGAAAGCAAAATGCCACCTTTATCCTGCCAGGAAAGGAACGTGTCTCCAATAAATTCAAGTGCCCATGAATACTGTGTGGGAAAGCAAAAGAAAGAATATTAGTCATGAGCTCCAATGTTTTTGCCTCTCTGAATGCAGATAAATAATAACAGGAACCATTAAACTTAGGAAAGACCATCTGGCTTTTTTCCCCCCACAGCCTACTCTGTCTGGTGAGGCCACGTTAGATGGATATGCAACACACACTTTACAACACTGTTCCACAGAATTTGCTGCAAGTGTTCATTTTTGTCTTCTCTCACTTTACCCCCAAACTTGCTAAATATGTCTGCCACAGCATCTAAACTGTAGCTGAAAAAAGGGTGAGTGTGATGGCAAAGCTGCTCTGAGAATAACTTCGTAACGATTACTGCAAGACACAGCAATATATCACAATATTTTCCCTGTCTAGTAACACTTATCTTAGCCTCTGCTAGGCCAGCCTTGAGGGATTAAAGCTGAATTCCAGGCTTTCATTTGCTGTACAGTCTGCTGCAGCTGGTGCTCTAAGGCAATTAAGTTTATTTCTTATAGACTCTTAGAAAGAAAAAAACAAAAAGTGTGGCAGCATTTTCACTTACTATGCTTGCCTGTATATAAATCTAACTTTTTTCTACAAGTATTTTAATTTTCTGAAGTGAATGGAAATCCACCAGCACCAGTTTTGAGTAGGAAGAGAAGAACTACAACGGAAAATAGTAAAAATGAAGGAAGCAAGGTGGTGCTGTGATTACCTAGGTAAATGCATCCCTTCCTTTTACAGCTCTGAGTTTCACAAAACTGGGAAGACTGGAGCATCTTACCTCTGTCTATTCAGCACACCTTGGACACTGAGCAGGAAACTACTCTGGTAGTCTGCAGCTGCAGAAAAATACTGAAAGAAGTTCAGTATTCTGGTGATACCCTTTTTAGTTCATTTTATGTGATTCTGTGTAGCCAAACACAAACCTCCTCCAAAAGGCAGCTTCCAGACATGTTCCTTTTCTGTGTTTAAATCCAGAAAAGGATTAAGTTGCCTGGTGCGTGAGGAGGTGAGCACAGACCACAGACAGCTCAGAGCTCTCCAGGAATCCCTCTTCCCAAGCAGCCACCTCACCTCCTCACCACCCTGTTCCTCTCCATGTGATGCTAAATCCAATTGTTTTAGCCAGGAATGACCCCTTAAATGGAGCTGTGAAAACAAAATGGAGCAGATGAGATTTTAATCTGAATAGCTCCATGAATCTGTGAGGCACAGGCTTGGAGAGTGGGCTGAGTGGGGGATGGTGCATTGGGGAAAAAAAAAAAACCTTTGGGAAAGGACTTTTGTAGGAATTATTGCAATCATCTCAAAGGCTTGAGTCCAACAACCATCTCCAACCCACAGCAGGGCAAACTGCCAAACTGCTTGCTAAAAAGGTTTTGTGGGTTTTCAGCTTTTTTTTCTCTACTTGGTGGTTATTCTGCATCTCTCCTGGTTGTCTTTCTTGTCTCTTCTGCAGCCTGTATCCACAAGCCTGAGCAAACTGCCCTGTCTAATCACTAACATCTTCCTATCAATACAGAGAGCTGCCCTTTCAACCCTTCTTGCCTTTATTATTTGCCTCATATGCCTGCAGAATAGAGGATTGCTGAGATCTCCATGACACAGGCAGGTAAAACACAATGACAATGAGCCCCATCCAAAATCTGTGTGTGAAGCTGCTAACAGGAGATTTTACCTGTGTCTCCTCAATTCCCAAGGGTTAGCCACTTTCCTTCCAGGCACAGATTTCCTCTGTCTGGAAGCTGGAAGAGGCTTCTAGCCCCTGAGGAAATGCTTAGCTGGAAACCCACATCCTTTTTCAGAGAAATCTCACCAAGTGTTACCAGAAATGAAGCCACATGAACCTCATTTCTGGTCAAACAATTGTTTCATTGATGGCAAATTTCAGGTATGCTTTTGTGGGATGATTAACCTACATGCCTCAATCTTATGTGATAAAAAACTCCCAAACAACACTACAAAAAAAATTAAGTTTCATCTTTTGTAAATGAGTTTTATATAATTACAAAAATAATGCAGTATTTCTGAGGAAAATTCAGTGTCAAGTGTATCCAGCAATTTAGGATGTCTGATGAAGCACAATCACTGCAATTAATTACCATCATCTCACAAAATTAGTTCTAATTAGCTGATGCCTTCCCACTTCAGAATATCTCTGAAGCAGCTTCATATTGCAAATCCATGCCAATTATTTTTTTTTACCCAAAAGCTCAACGTTAGCAGCCAGCATACAGAATATTTTGTAGGGTGGGGAAGACATAATTCAGCTGAGCTTGCTGTTAAATCCATACAAATAGCAGAAAGTGGAAACTGCTGTCTCTAAAGCAAGGAGTAAAGGTTTTTTAGATTTTAGGGGTGGGAGATTAAAGGGTGGGGAGAGGCTTCTGGTTCATGGCACAACCTGTACTGGCATGAAAGCAAATATCCCACCATGGCTGTGAGGAGGGTGATGGCAAATGGAATTCTTCCTCTGGAATACCCTCAGGTGGGTCACCACAGAATCTCACTTTGAATTTGTAAGACTGACCCATTTTTGCAGGCTTTTGGAGAAAGACAGATGGAGGGATGTGCTGGGGAATTTCTGCTGGTTGTGGTATGCAGGGAAACATTTCTTAAGGTGAGAAATAGACTTTTTTCCCCTCTGTGTAAAAACACTTTGCACTGGAACAATTGATTCCTTTAAATAATAAGAAAGACAGAACTATGGGATAAGCCCTTCCAAATCCCACAACATTTGTTATAGTCACTGAACGCCTCTCATTAGGATTGCTAAAGATAAAACCTCTCTGCTGCTTTGTATCTTCACAAAAGCTTTTAAAAACGTGGACTTATATCTGCAGGAAACAACTATTATTAATGAAGCAGCTGGATTTCTTTTTAAATAGGTTACTTTGCAGCCATTTGCTCTGCTAATTATAAACAGAAATGCTGACATATATCTTCAGTGCTTTGGGATGTTGAATATTATCTAAAGTACATTTAAAAAGCCTTTTAGAAGAATAACCCATATCTGAAGTATGAATTGAAGCTGTAAAATAATATACATGAAAAACAGCTGCAGAAATTATTAGCTCACATTTCCCCCCAGCAGGTCTGCTTCCAAATATATCTGATGCAATGTGAGAATCATTGCTCCACAGTAACATCATAATTCTGCTGATGCCAGTTTCTATTAAAGTATCCTAATAAGTAGTAACTGTTCTGATACATGAATGCATGTGAAATAAACCTGGAATATAGATATCAGACCAGAGCAGTTCAGAGAAAGGTAATTCTCTCTCGTGAATTATTGCAGGACTTGGTTCTATTCTCTGCTATGAAATTCTCCACGCACACACACATGCACAGAACAATGTTTCAGGCCCAGACAAATCTTCCTGGGGCACTGCTGAAAAATCACAGAGCAGGAAAGCTGCAGGTGCTCAAATCAGGGCAGTTCCTGTGCTGCAGATGGACAGAGACATGAGCCAGAAAGCAAAGGGGAGTAATTTTTAAAAACTACCCAGTGTCCAAGACATGGATGATATCAAATGCTCCATAAAAATAACTAGGTGAGGAGGACAACAAAGAAATGTCAGAGAAAAATTACTATGGAATAATCCAAACCAAACAGTAAAGAGAATCAGGGTCTGGAGGTATCTGTGGCAGTGGCTCTGCTGTACTCAGGGCTGGATCCCTTGCTCCAATTGCTCTTCTCTGGTGGCTTTCCCTTTTCCCAACAAGTACTGCCTGCATGGCTTTCTCCCCTCTCATGCACATCTTTCTGAAATGCTGGCTGATTTTCCCTCCTGCTTATTCACTTTTTACCTCTGAGCAGTTCCTTCCTCCTGCTACCACAGAATTGCCTTCAATCACCATCACCAAGGTTTTCATGCCAGCATTTCCACAGCTCCCTGTTGAATGTCTCTCCTTTAGGACACCCTTTCAAACAAGTTTCCAAACCCACAGGCCCCTGACTCCCCACAAGCCCAGATTTAACGTTCTGCAGGATGGAAATGACAGTGGGCTACTGAGGGCTGGTGTTTACTTTTTTAAGACAAATCTGAGATACTTGACATGAAAATTATTCACACAGGTTCTTAGGTCAGTGGGTCTCTGGAGCATTTCCAGGGGTTCTGTTAAAAAAGATACATTTTTAGGGTAAGTTTAGCTCACAGAGGGGGGTCATCCTTTCCTTTTATGTTTCTAAAAAGAATTAAATACAATTTAATTCTTTAGCCCTTCTTTAATGTTTACTAAGGACCTTTGTGGGTTAATTAATGCCAGGACAATTCACCCATGAACTGTTTTCTAATTCAATTTGTTAAATGCAAGTAGCCATAAATATTATAAATCAATTACTGAGTATATTCTACGCTTCACCAACCAAAAAAATCATAACAGAGTATTTTTGAAGGTGATTGAGAAAAATGAACCACTTCCATAAGGCCAGGCATTTATGCTTCAATTTATCTTTTCTTTCACAAAAACAATTTGAAATACATTTTGCTAAATACAGGAACTACTTTTGTAGAAGAAATCAATTATGCTCTGAAGTTTAAATCTTCTTTTTTTCCAGCCGTGCTGTAATGTATTACTGTACCTCAGAAACATGCCCTGGGGAAAAGGCTTCTATTCTTCACTGGAAATCCATGAATAACATAATGTAGAAATTAATTTATGATAAATGATTTAAAATCTTAACCTAGAATGGTTTCTGGTTCAAATGTCATCAGAAATGGCACCTCACCCGCAGGAAGGAGTCAAGGGATCCGTTCTCCATGTATTCAACTACAATCATGACTGGTCTGCCTGCAAAACAGCAAAGAGACACATCAGCATTATGCACATATTGTGGGGCTTTTGCAATTCTAGCCGCTCTGCACAGGCTATTCACAGTAGCTGAATTTATTAAATATTTCCAAAATTCTCATTTATATCACAAGCAGAATTCTCTGTGTTACCCCTAAGAATTATTTTCTATGCACTTTTTTTTTCTTTTGTTCTTACTGGATTAGCTGAATGCACATAATTCACTTTGGTGTATTCTCCCTTTAAAAAAATGATCAAAGAAGAGCCTGCTATCTCCACATAGCAAAACTTGCCATGTAATATTTTGGAATGTATCTGAATTAAGGCCAACCCCAAATATTCATAAGCCATGTCTGAGTAATTACAAACTGAGGGTCATAATTTTCCTCTAAAGAATAAAAGTCTCATTGACTTAGGAACATGGGAGACAGATAAAATGGGGTGTCACAAAAACAATTCTCCTAGATCTGCTGCGTGCATTGGGTGTGTATAATCCAGCAAAACTCTGAATTCATGAAAAATTGTGTATATTTTGTAGATACTTAAAATATACACAAATCAAGTGTTACTCAAATCAAAGTTTTGCGTGACCAGAACAGTCCCAGGGTGGCACCATATCCAAATTGAAGCAGAACAAGACATTATATTTATTTCTTGAAAGGATATCCAAATGGGAAGATACACTTTTGAAGTGTGTACTTAAACACCATCTCACTGCCGGTACCCTTAAAAAAAACCAAAAAACGTCTCTAAGTGCTTGACAGGAGAGGGCAACCAAGCTGCCAACCAGACTGCACAGAAATTCTCAGAATTATTAATATCCGAAAGCAGCCATTCTACACAAAAAAATTAATGAAAAATAATGTTAATATGATTAGAAAGGAGGTGAAAGGGCTTAAAATGGCAGAATTTTCTTTTCCTGGGAATGCCCATCTCTTTTGGGGGTGGTGGGAAACCAGAGCTATGACAAGTGGTGACACTGAGTCCACCATTTGCCTTCCTCAGTTCCAATATTTTTCAAGCCTAAAAGAAGACTCTTTCATCACATCACTTTTTTTTTTCTCTTCTGCTCAAATTATGTTTGTGATTTTTTTTGGATGAGGGGATGAGAAAAAAACACAGTGTTGGGCTGATAAAACATAGAAGAGCATTTTGATTATTCCACCACAATTGCCCATTTCTGTTCAGTTTGGTTAATAGTGGAAGTGTTTATTAAATGTCCACAATGTACAACAGGCCTCAGCCAGGTATTTCTCCTGAGCTGTTACAGTTTACCTTCAATCTAAAAAACGGAATGATCCATTTCTGTGTTTGTTCCAGCATGTTGACCCAGAGAGTTTTGGGTTCCTGATAATGCCCATTCACAGAGCTTAGTCTGGTCTTTTTGTAATTCCTATCAATATTCCCTCATTTCCTCTAATAAAATTTGTGATTATTTCTGCATTGACTCTCATGTTCACACCTTACATGAATAAAACATTTCATAGTGTTGTCACAATACAACATTTTTTTTGAGTGTGTGTGAAAATTCCCAGATGCCTTGATAAGTCTTTTGGATAGCCCTTGGAAGTGTGAAGAATAACCAGCTTCTTTCTTTTTGATTGAATGTTTAGCCTTGGCTGCTGATGTGCATCTGCCACCAAATCAGTTATTTTCATCTGCACCCATCAGTTATACCCTGGTTTTGCAATATAAACTTAAAAGATACATCACTTGTAAGCTCTTAGAGATCAGAGGTTTAAAAAATTCATGTTTCCTTTAGTTCAGTTTGCTAATGATGACTGGTTGTACAGCCCACTCTGTTTAGTTTCAAGAACAGGAATGCCCCAGATTCCCTTCCCTTTATCATTTCCTTACTGTCACAGGGCTGACACCTCCACATGAAAGGAAAATCCTAAAACCCAGAGAAGTAAACAACCTGCAGCCTGATGCTACAGAATCTTCCACTGTGCAAAACCCTCTTGAGCAAGTAGCAATTTCTGAATTGATGCAGAAAATAGCATTTTTCAATAAGTAGGGGTGTAAAGCTGGCTTTCAGAGATGGCATATTCAATCAGAAATTTCTCTTTCTGGGTAAATCAACAACTAAAACACCTACAGATAATTTGCATTTGAAGAGAAGGACAAATGGAGCTTTAGAACAGCACCCCTGGTTTCCTGTGGGGAATCCTTTGGCACTCTACACTTTCCAGAAGCTGTAATTTTCTCTAGAGGTTCACAGGCCCTCATTGCAGCTTTTGTGCTCCTTAGATTCACATCCTTCAACACAAATGATTTTCATACTTGCTAAACAGAACTATTAATTCTTCTACATTATCTCACAAAATATTCTTCCCTCCAAAAACCCCCACCTGTATTTCCTTTTGCTCTGACCCTATGCTCCTAGGTTAAAGTAACTATTAAATATATTTATATGCATTCATCTGTGGATTTAAAGAAGATATTTTGGTATTTTTTTCACTGGACAATGAGGTTTTAAAGCATTCAATTTGAATGACTTGAAATGACATGCCTTAACATAAAACCAGCTCTTCCAAGTGACAGCACAGGAATGGCACTAAATACACTAAAAAGTGCAGCTTTTTCCTTCTAAAACGTTGCTGTATATCAGAAAATCAGCAAATCATGAATAAATTCAGTCACTTAGGCTGATAGCTTCCCACTGACTCATTCTGCATCACTTGCCATGCTACCTAAATTTCAAATGAAATTGAGGTGGGATTTTGTCAAGACACCACAATGTGTCATGACACCATGAAAATAAACCTGGCTCCATCACTTGATTATCTCAAGCAAAAATCTTTAATCTGGACACAAACTTAAATTCTCAAATAATCTGGTCTTTTGAACTGTAAATTGTGTGGTGGCTTTTATCAAGTGTGACAGCACTTGATAAAAGCCACCTGATTTTGACCCAAGTCTAATGCATCTCTGGAGCTATTTATGTATTCCAAGCCAGACTGTGACAGTGAAATTTTTAGTCAGCACAGAATTTGTCTTTGGAGCACCTGTGGATTAAAAATGTCTCAGCTGTTGTTAGGGTGGCTTGAAGACTTAAAAAGTAAAAAACTCTGGTACACAGTAGAATCCAGTGGGAACTTTTACCATCAAAGTGGCAACACTGGCTCTATTGCCAGTGTGTTATCCTTTACAGAGTAGTGCAATTTGAGTCCAGAAAATTTTTATGTGCTGGACCCCTGTGCAAACACAAAATATTGCTTTAGTTTTAAAGAGGACTACAAAACTGACTTTAAAAATAATACTGGGAGATTTCTAAACTAGTGTAGTGTTTGCATCTAAATAAATTTTCAAAAAAAGCCTATTACTAAGATTATGAAAAATTACATTGTTCTCATGGCACTAAGAATTCTTGATCCTTAAAATAAGAGCAGGAATTAATAAATGGAGAGAAGTCTCTGAGACAGAAAAGCAATCTTTGATTATTTTATCAAGGGGTTGGCTAATGCAATGCTGGAAGGCATTGAATTATTTTTCCAGGATTACATACAGCACAAAAGATGGAGAATAAACAGGTTTAAAGACAAAGAGCAGCAGGACACAGATGGCAGCCAAGGCACTCCTGGGAGTGACAATGACCTCCATAAACGGCTGAACATTCTGGGATAGGAACACACCCATCTCCAGCCCAAGGAATTCCCCACTTCAGGGAGGTGTTTCCACACAGATACAGGAACAGGTACAGGAGAAGGACCTGAAGAACTGAGTTAATTTTACAGCCAAGAGCCACACAAGAAAAAGAATGGGAAAAGGACACTGAAAAAGGTGTCAGTTTGGGGTTTGGAACCAAGGAGCTAAAGACTGTGGGTGCTGCTGGAGGTGAGCACACAGCTTCTAGTTTGATCTGAGGGAGGATGAAATAAAAATTTTTGAATCTGCTTCAATGATCAAATCACTCAAACAAATCAGACTTGCAGCAGTTTTAGATGCTTAGCACTGCTGGAATGGGGAGTACTGGGAGAAAACAGACCTTTTAAAGCAGAGGAATTATTATGTGTTCTGAGGCAATAGGTTTGAACCCTAAATACAGATTTTACACACTACATATATCACATTTATAATTTGCAGCATATTATAACAGATGCATAATTTTACTACTTATTTAAGATAACAACATGAAATAATAACTGCATTTATACATGACACACACACTGATATCATCCTCACATTCTCTGTTCTCAGATTTTTTTGGAAAGTATAAATATTCCTGCCCCAGACACATGTGGGATATTGTCTGAAGCAGATTTCCCTCCTTTTATGTGGCTTTGGAAGATCCTTTCAGAGCTCCAGCATCTCAGAAAGCCACATTGAACACACAAGAGGAGCACTGGGGCTTGGCATGATGCAGGAAAAGGACAGTAATTCAATTTATCCCAACTGATATGAATCTATGGAAGGGGCAGGGGCTGTTCACTGTTTTGGGGCAACTCCCACCTTGTGACTGCTTTGGACAACTTTCCCTAAGAAAGCTCTTCACTGCAGTTCTCCCACTCAGCTGTACTGCAGTGCCACTCAAACAAAACCAGAGAAAATTACAAACAACCTGTATTGATGTCATGCCACCCCAGAATATGCTGCAATCTTGTATTTTCCACTGATCAATCTGCTTATCATTTTTAATAAGCCGGAATGAAAAAAAACAAAAAAAAAAAAAAAAAGGGAAACAACCCCATAAATTTCCAAATAATGTAAAATACTGATTAAATCTGAAATTCACATTGTATATATTTTTAAGCTTTTTTTTCCACAACACAAGATTTTGATAGCATGCAATTTAACTGAGTGCCAGAGTGATGAATAAGGAGGAGAATCTGAAGTGTCATATCAATGACAAAATATTCAGCTTGTTGTCTCCTGTTGTCATTTTAAATAATACAGCAAAGCCTCTTTTAATGAATGTTTTATGTAAGATTAATCCTCCAAAAAGGATAGCTAGCATGTGTTCTTTTTCTACAGACTTACAATGAAATCTCTAATAGCAA